AAGAACAGCGAGCCGTAGCATACAATAATAGAATAAAATGTAATAAAATAATAATATATAATAGGCATATAATAGTAGAGTTTATTCTGAGTTGACCTGAGCCATCAGTTTATTTATATATTCTATTTCCTTTGAACATTGCAATCGTACAGCTCATCTGATCACTAGTCGAGCTCTACAAAGGCATATTCTATTCTCTAATCCTTCCACTTTTCTATTTTTTTCACCTTGACACACAACCGAGCAGTTTTAGCGATGCGGTATCACAGAGCCTGCACTTGTGATACTCTGGTACCGTGCTCTTACCCATTAGCGGGCCCCGCTTTTGAAAAGGCGAGGGAAAGCGGGGTCTCGGTAGTGTATTGGATAAGAGCACAATGCCTGGATGCACACATACGGCTTCGAGTCCCGTACGAGGTCGAAGTTTTGCTCATGACTCGCCAACCTTGTCAGACTTTCGCATCGGCGACATAACAGCAATTGCCAAAATAATCAAGCCATAGCCATGTTCATATTGACTGAGGGATCCGGAACGCTTGAACAGCTTTCTAAGCGTTCTCCTCGCATGCGTCGTTTCTCCATACACTTCACTATACCTCAGTCTTATTAATACAGAGATACAATTCATTCTTTTTGCGGACAGCAAGGTGGCTAATAAACCTTCCGCGGGAAGTTCTACAATCGAGTAACAGCAAGATCTTTAAAGCCAAATTGAGAAAGCTGAATGTAGCTCAGTTAATCGATTCATGAAACTTGCTCATTATCGTTATGGTATGATTCACAGATTTTGTTTGAGGTAGCACCCCTTCGGTTCGTTTTGTAGCAGCTATATCTGCCGCGCTACAAGAGGCAAGCATGTGCTATGGTGTGCCTTTTCCAACATTCCCGTTTCCTGAATGGTTTCGACCATGGTCTATCGCATGCACTCTTCTCCTTTTTCCCTGCGTCATGTATCCTAGCACTTAAGTTCTCTCGACTGGTCATCTATGTCGTTGTTGTCGCTTAGGGATCCGTTTGTTTTGTAAGCCAAACTTCTTTTCTGTGCCTTGCTAATCTGATCTTGAACTTGCAGTCCTTCGACACTGTTGCTTTTGCATAGGCAGTGGCCAAAATCCACTTGCATCGATGCTTCTGTTCTGGGAAATGTTCACTCTACCGCTCACTTCGTGCCAACCGACCAGCAGCTTACAAGTCGGCTCCACATGGGAAGTCGGCCAACCCGTGTGCCGAAGTTCCTGCTTTGTCCTATGACTCCTCACGGAATGAGGAATGGCCAACTGGTGCGGTTATAAGAGAACTGGCTATAAGAGCATCTTCGTTGCACTCATTAGCACTTTTGAATATTGGTATATGCCAGTGATTTCGTGCCCTTATCTTTTCCTAATCTCACATGGCACAGTGGCGTCGGGTGGTCTATTGCTATTTGTGACACACTCAGTGGGGTGTAAAAATAAATGAATAAATAAATAAATGACAAGTTCCATTCAAATTTGGAAGAACATCAGTTTTCGAAAAACTCAGGGTGTAGCGGATGCCGGCCTTTAGAACAGGGAAGCTGCAAAATAGGGGCACTCGAGAGGCAAATAACTACTTTACTCTGAAATGCAAATGGTAACGTAGAGCCCAAAATTGACATCACGTTGCCGATGATCTTCGTGGTCCAGAGTGGGAACGTTTTTGATATCAGTTCCCGAGACCACGGAATTGTAGATGAGTGCTGTCTTGAAATCGATAATAATGGGAATGATTGACGATGCTACATCAACGTTTTACTATACCCCTTCAACATTGCTCTTCAATTTTCAATTCGAATCGAGATTCTCCTTGCTCATTTTGATCAATTAAGAGAACATTGAGAACTTGATCGAAATAATTCACAGGACATGTAGAAATAAGAATTTCTAACTTACCTCTAGCAAAAGAATTCTCATCATTTTCGGTTGCTTAATGGTTTTGCTAGCCTGTGGCTCTTCTGGGCCGACTAGGATTCCTATTATAGTAGTTAACAGGGGAATCCTGTCTCCTTCTATGTTCTTTTTCTGGTTGTAATTAGAGTGTTTCTCGTTCTGTTTTCGAATTCCCTTCAGTCCAGAGATAAGCCAAAAGCCTCCTCTAGAGATCCCGTTTCTATAGCTAGATTAATGACCTATGCGAATGCGTTAACAGACAATTAAAAAGTTTGTTAACGATGCGTATGCACAGAATTAGGGCCATCTAGATCGTCGATTTTTCGAAACCCTGGTTGGAATAGAATTTTAAAAGAAAGAAATAAAATCGCTCGTCTTTATTGTTCACCAGTGCCCAAAAGGACGTCGAAATTGAGATGAGTGTCCGAAATTCAGGGTATCAAGCATCATCCCAAGCGTTTTCTTCATAAGACGATCGATTTCATCAAAGTGTCCACCCCCGTGTATTGTCATTTCTCGAGTAAAGCCTGAAAAAAATGAAAACGTCATTGTCAACGAAAATTTTCATTTTATGCTCTCTCGCGTTAACAGGGGATGCAAGAGTGCATTGAAGGAATGATGAATACCACTTCCTCCAAATCCAGAGAATGTAGAAAGAGAGCCTGAAGGCCTCGTGAGCGGCCTGTATTTTCCTCGACCGTAACCTGAAACTAGCATCGAGAATAGTTCGCAAGATTTGTAGGCTCTTGCTTTTGTGTATACCTCTTCCTCCGTATCCAGACCATCCATTACCTCCTTTGAGGCCACCTGAACAACAAAACAAAGCTTCAGAGAATCTTGATTTCTTGAGATCCTATCCTGTAGATACCTTTCGGCACGTATCCAGGTGTAGATCCGCTGGGATACCTAGGCGGAATTTCATTATCGGTTCCTCCCTGGTTATACCCTAGAAAAGAAACAATAAAAAACGTTCCCATATCAGAAACGGTTCTTTCGTATGCTATTGCCATTGTATGTTCTGTCTTCCGTGTATCCAGGTGTAGTTCCACTGAAATACGACGGCAGAATTTCATGACCGTCTCCTCCTTGGTTATACCCTAGAAGAGAAACAATAAAAAACGTTCCCATAACAGGAGTTGTTCTTTTGTATGCTACTGCCATTGTGGGTTCTGTCTTTCGTGTATCCAGGAGTAGTTCCGCTGGAATAGGAGGGCAGAATTTCATGACCGTCTCTTCCTTGGTCATATCCTAGAAGAGAAACAATAAAAAACGTTCCCATAACAGAAGTTGTTCTTTTGTATGCTACTGCCATTGTGTGTTCTGTCTTCCGTGTATCCAGGAGTAGTTCCGCCAGGATGCGTAGGCAATATTTCGGTGTCGTAATCATCGAAAGCCTCTTAAAAAAGTACAGTAAAGTACAAATTCTTTTCATGCCGCAGAATTATGATTCTGTGTGTTACGCAACTGCATATACCCTTGTTATCGTAATCAGAGGTCGTTCCGCCAGACCATATATTAGGTGTGTGCATTAAATCACGACGTTTTTTTTGCGTGCAAAAACATATTTGTTACAAAATTAAAACAAAATAGACTACAACCAATTTAATGACCATCGTTAGCTACAACTTCTTGCTATTTTTCTAGTAACTTGTTTATTTCGAATCTAGAAAAGTCTTCATCTTCTAGAACAACCCAGTCATCCACCCATTGCCGCACTTCTTCTTCATTCCGGAAGCGTGTATCTGCCAAACTGGCTTGCATGAACCGAAATTAGTGGTAATCAGATGGAGCAAGATGCGGGGAGTATGCAAGCTGAACAAGCTGGTCTTATCCAAGATGTGCGATGTTTTAAGGACATTCTTTGCAACAAGGGGACTGGAATTGTCGTGGTGGAACAGCCCCATATGGTGTTTCTTGCGATTAACGGCCACTTTTGCGTGAGAGCTGCAGGTTCGTTCAGATGGTGATTGTTCTCCATAAGTATCTAAAAGCATCCGGTGAGCTTCACCGGCAGTTTTCTTGAAATCAAACAGCAGGAGAAGGACTTCCAGGAATAACGGTTTATCACGTTCCATGAACAATCAGTTTGAAAGCAACGGGATTTTGGGGGAAAACTGACCTGTATGCCCTTAGATGGGTAGCCTATATCCTATTCTATACAATATGACAAGTTTCACAGGTATACCTTTAACATGTTTCGCGTAATGACCCATCGGATCCGGCGGCGGATTTTAATGCACACATTTGATAGGTACGAGGCTTGCCTTTCATATTTCGATATTGCAACCCTAGTGTTGCAATCCGGCAACTAGTAGCT